CATCAAAAATATCTTAATTTGTGTTCCTGAGATGAACAAAGGTCTTATGGGTTTGGAACTACATAAGGGTGATTCATTGTTGACAGAATTATCATTTTTGGGTGAACTATAACTTTAAGGGAATTAGTAACAAAAGCATTTTTTATACCGAAGGCAACACTGTTTTAAAACATGCAACACAATCTATAAACAATATGAATATGAATGTTTTGAATAATCCAATTACAGTCAATAATGCCTGTGATTCCGCCACTTGAGCTGTGTGAGCTGGGCAGTAAATGAACATAGTCAAACCCAAACCCTACACATTTTAGAATAATCAGGCGCACACAGCATAAATGGAATAAAACAACGCACCTCTGGAAAAAGTGTACTTATGTATTTTCGTTACCGCTGAGTCAGAATGTGTGTTACATTGTCACAGACAATAAAGCATAATTTTTTCTTTGACGTAAAGAATGTTATTGTCAAAAAAAAAAGCACAGTCCAACATTTCATATAACTGAATTCTACTGGAAAGTCATGAAACACATAGCTAACTTAAATAACTAAACTGTGCTTCAAATGCTCCCTTTATAAAACTTCCTCCTCATCAGTAAAAGCAAAGCAGTCATACATACTAATAGGTATAGATAGGGCTGGGTGATAATTCGGTAACGATAATTATCGCGATATAATTTTCCTCGATAATCGCGACTCGTTTGAATCGCGCCACACGGACCATTTATCCGCTCGGATCAAAGTTCAAACTGCCGCGCGGCGCAAGCTCACTAGAGCAGATGTGTTCACTCAGTCACGCGAGCGTTAAGCAGCGCTGTGCGATCCAGTGTGAAGCGCTTGAATTCCAAAAGGGTCTGGCTGCAGCTGGCACTTGCACTCTCAGACGTGCATTCTCAGGCTTGCACTCTCAGACACTTGCACTTCCGCTAGCGACGTCACTTGCAGTCTTTATTATTTTTTATTTTGTTCTATTTAGTGATTACTTTTTGTTTGAATCTCTCAACATTTTACAACAGTAGCCAGTATAGCATGTGTGCATTTATACTGAATGTTTTTAGACTACTGTTTTTCATACAAATAGGCTACCTAAAAACCATATAGTTATATATTTACCATGGTATTGAGGTGCTATATGTGTGGTTTTAACTGTGTTTATGTTTATCATGATTTAAATGTATGCTACTATGGGAGACCAATGCTTAATTTGAAAAATAAATAAATAAAAACTTGGTCAGAATAAATTTAGCCATATAAAACTGAGGTTGCTTCAATTTTTCACAGATGTTACTGATTTTGATAATGAACAAAAATGTACCTCTGCATCCTAACTCAAGCTACTATCATATGTGAATTTCTAAGAGACAAAAAGTGATATTATTATTATTATTATTATTATTACAGGGTTTCTGCAGACACGAACAAGTTAAATTTAAGACTTTTTAAGACCTTTTTAATACCACCTTATATGAAATGTAAGACCTAAACCTGTAATGGAAATACACATTTTATTACATACATATATATACTATTTAATGTGTATAAATTAGAAATAAAACAAAATATCATTGCTGTAATAAATGATATTTATTACTACGATATACAGTGAACTTTTCATGTCAGCAGACAATATTCCATACAAAATATCCCCGCAAAATAACTGCATCACTGAGATTTTTGGTGGAGTAAACAATTGATTCTACACTGCAAATAACAATAATTACAACTGCAATAAATAATGTTATGAGATTAATGTTTTAAATGCATTTATGAGTAGTGTTGTCACGGTACCAAAATTTCAGTATTCAGTACCAACACCAGTGAAAATCCACGGTTCTCGGTACCAATTTCGGTACCAAATTGTAATGATTATTATCATTATTATTGTCTTACTTTTTATTTTATTTGACAGAACAACAGTAAAATTACAATACTAACATTTATGAATGTTGATAAGAGTTCTTGTTTTTTCTCAACTTTTATTTTGGCGGACACGCGCAGAAAGACCTCAATGCTTATTTTTGTTGATAACAGATTCATAAATTAGTCTCATTACGAATATGTCGTACGTATCGCATTGTCACATGCCTTGTAAAAATTCATAAAAATGTGACTGAGCAACTGACGACTGTATCAGCGCAGATTTTCCTCGCGCTTAATGTATTTTAATAGACTGAATCATGCAGTGAAAGAGCGCACTAGACTTCATGTAATGCGTGCACTCTGTAGGTGTTTTGAATGTTTTTTTGCCTCGTGAGAATATTGAGATTCTTCTGTGTGTTTCTTCTGAGTTTATGTCTGCTGTCACGCTCATGAAGTCTCGAGACAAACAGAGTGAGACTCAGCGCGAGCCTTTATTCTGTATTCTGTTAACTTACTGCAATTCTCTCTGAAGACGCAGTAACTTATCGCGGGGAAGAAAAAATCTTCGGTCTGTCCAATGATTGTAAACAGTCATTAGGTCCGTCAGACTGAAGATATTTTAGCGGTAATGAGACCAAAAATATTTAAGACCCATCGAATCCGAATTTAAGACATTTTAAGACTTTTTAAGGCCTTATATTAGGAAAACGTTATTTAAGACATTTTAAGACCCTGTATTATTAATATTATCAGGCAACCCAAACCTGTTTCTTCATTTGAAACAATATCACTCATTAGAACATGCAGAAACTAAGAAATACATTTTTCTATTTAGATATTTATTTTGTTAAGGAAAATTAAAGGTCTGGTTTCTACAACTTTCACTTTCTGGCTTTAAACTTGAAAGAAATAAAGATTTGACATTTATCGTGATAATTATCGATATCGACTGATAATTATAGATATCGATATCGCCATATCGCCCAGCCCTAGGTATAGATGCAAACTCTTTGCCAGATGAGACATTTCTACCATCTCTTAATTTATACCATAACCTGCCCAGCCCCAAGTGTGTGTGTTGAGTGTTTTATGAGCGTTCTTCCAACACACTGGCACTTGCAAGGTTAAGAGATGTGTTTTACTAATTGAAGCCCACCCCAAAATCCAACCTGAATCCCTGCCTTCCAATCCTCCTCCCTCTAGTTGAAGGGCAGCCCATGGTGAAGAGGGGGGAAAACGGAGTGTTATCTCCGTCTAATAAGGCATTTTAATTGTATGGGTTTAATTTAAGCACAGATTTACAGCTTCACAAGCTTCACAAGCTCTCATCACGCCGATGTTAAAATAACTGGGAAGGTCTCTCCCTTGATCCCGTCTGTGCGCTATGTCTCTCACTCAAGGCTGTTCCGGAGAGAGAGGAACACATCACAAAAAAGGTGTTAGATCTTTGCCATGACCAAGCTAATTATCAACACTGTACTTGATGAGCCTATGCAGTCCCCTCGGTAACTGTCACACAGTCTAACACATTTGGAGGTTATAGGGAGAGAGTTTTGGGAAGATCCATGAACTGTGAAAGACACGCACAAACACAACCCACAGCAACACATTCAAACAAATCTCTGCTCACGGAGTCAGGCCATGCCACTGTGAATTGAGCATTGAGGATTTTTTTCACACCTCTGGAGAAGTCTTTCCGAACAAACAAACTCCTCTTAATGAGTTTTTTTTTACGGACCAGGAAGGAAATCAGTGAAGCCAGTCATCACGCTCAATCCTCACTGGCAATAAACGGCAAACGAGGCCACTGTGTTTACACTCATCAGAGCTTAAACTTGGGAGAGCTTGAGCCAAAGATGTCACACGCACCTGAGCACATTGCCATGCGCACGGAGTCATCGGTGAGCATATTACCATTCGCTCTGTCACGCTCCACTCTCCACATCTGTCACTCAGTTTGGCTGAGATTTAAATTTTTTATTTTGGTCAATCTGTTAAGCCTGATGTGGGTTTGGGATGGGATGGAGGGGGTTCCCTCACGAGTTCACATCTGCCAAGAGATGTCACACGAGTCAACATCTGTCCCTTGTTTATACACCTATCAGTCAACTCTCACAGATACAAATATCCATTTATGTAACGTGTCACCGAGTAATAATCTGATCGGTTAGGTAGACTTGCTGAAACCAGTCCACACAGAGGAAACTCAGCCCACATTCACACAAACGGATTACATGAGTACATGCAGAAGCCTGGAAGTACACACACACACACACACACACACACACACACACCCCAGGCAGTGAGTCTGCAAGGCCTGCACTCACCCTGACTGTCATCTAGCATCTGCTGGCTTTATCAAACACCAGACTGGTACTGACTGAGTCAGGACCCATGTGCCCTTGCTTTCTGTCTCAAGCCTCTGCCCAGTAAACTTCACTACCACTCTCACTGGAGATTACACTCAATTTGAAATTTCTTATGTTTCCCCTTGATCCACACACAAATTGTAGCACCAATCGCTTTACTTTTGTTTCCCCTTGGATTCCATCTTAAATTAGCATGTTGAATTGGCATCTAAATGGGTCAGACTGAATAGGCATCTGAGCCAAAGAAAATGACTTTGGACTTGTTCAATAGCGGCAGGTCACACAGGCCCCTCTCACTGAGTAGATCCGATTTCATGATAAATCTGAGAAAACATGAGCTCTAGCAAATATGCCCATTTTGCACTCTACCCACACTACAAAAATACAATGAATTCATTTCATGACTGCACCTTTGCAATTGTCTGATCACAAAGTAAATTCAAGTGTATTTTCAGACAGTGAACTGGTGGCCAGAGAATATATAAAAGGGTACATGATGCAATACAAGAGCCATTTTTGACATCTTTCAAACAGACAGATTCTTGTTGGCAAGATGGTCTTTTCATGTCATATATTGTGAATTAACCCACAATGAACAAAATGAGGAGAATAATATTTAGCATATAGCAAAATATTCATATATCAACACCCACTACTTTAGCACAAGTACCAGTCTGAACAAAATTTAAATGACCCATATCAGCAATTGCAAGCAAAATCAATTTTTCCATCACAGCATTACACATACACAATCAGAAATAAAATTGGTACCGTTTTTGTGCTGTATTTTGGTTGATTGGTCTTGTAGCTGTAATCCGAGTACTGGTCTGAGCCGGTGGAGTTGTCATCACCGCCTGTTCCCACAAAGGTGTTGGCAGCTGGGAGCTCCTGGACAGCCTGATGCTTTTGGGAGGCAGATGGGGACTGGGCCTGGAGCTGGATGGAGGGCAATGGGGAATTGGAACGGTAGTGCCTGCCTAGGTCAGGGCTTCCAGGCGGATATGTCAGAGGCAAATGGATCCTGGGGCTGTTGTTGACCCCATCAAGGTTAAATTTCAGACTCTTTTGAAGGCTGACTTCCTCATCCTCTCCAAGAGGTTTAGGTGACTTTGGTGGTTTACCTTTTTTACCCTTTCTCCCCTTGCCACTTTTTGGCCCTTGCTTGGGGGCATACAAATCTTTGGTCTCCTTCTTGCCAGCCTGATAACCACTCTTAGCTTCTCTTTGAAGGCGATGCCTGATGAAGACCACTACAACAATCACAGTGACCACTCCCGCCACTCCAGCTAAACTGCCATATACAATGTTGCTTCTTTGGGCAGCCAAACCATAATCTGGGTCTCCTGCAATGTCCATGTCCAGTGGGGTGTACAAGCTATGCCCCACAAGTGCCTCCACGTGACTTACATTGGCAATGGTTTCATTTACGTAAATGTGTACCAAGGCAATGGCGTGACGGGAAGGTTTGCCCCTATCGCTCACTTTTATCACCAGTCGATGCAGACCACCGTGTTTCCGAGTTAGTTCCTTGGTTAATGTGATCTCGCCATTAGATGGAGAGATGTAAAAAAGGTCATGTGGATTTCCCCCAGCAATGCTGTATACTAGCTCAGCATTGGAACCGGAATCAATGTCCTCCGCTTCGACCACTTCCACAACACTGTCTGGAGCAGCCATGGGAGATAGACGTATGAAGGATGAGTTAGATGGTTTGGTGACAACAGGTGCATTATCATTCTCATCGAGGACATTGATGGTCACGCCAACATAGGATGATCTTGGTGGATCCCCTCCATCTACAGCTTTCAAGCGGAACGTGTAACTGCTCTCCTTCTCTCTGTCAAATGAGATACTGGACAGAATAGTGCCAGTACCATTCTGGATCACAAATTTGCCTACATCAGGTTCCACAGAAAGTTGCATTTGAGCATTCTCCCCCTCGTCCATGTCCTGTACTGTTACCATGCCAACAGGGCTAAGGGGTGGCATGTTCTCCAAGACTGAGAAGCTGTATCCACTCAGCATGAACTTGGGATCGTTGTCATTCCGATCCAGTACCTTGATTACAACTGTGGCAGTACCCCTGTGACTGGGAACCCCTTTATCTGCTGCAGTAACACGGAACTCGTAGCGCTCCTTGTGCTCACGATCAAGAGGGCTCCGAGCACGGACTTCACCTGAGTTAGGGTCAATCTCAAAAAGTCCCCTTGTTGAAGAGTCCGCAATAATGCTGTAGACCAGCTCTGCATTAGTGCCACTGTCTGCATCTGAGGCGACTACATCTACCACCTTTTCTCCTGGCTGGTTCTCCTCAGCAAACTCCACTTCAAACAGAGTCGGTGAGAAAATGGGGGAATTGTCATTTGTGTCAGTCACTTGGACTTTTAGCGAGTTAGTGCTGGACAGAGCCGGATTGCCTGAATCCACTGCCACTATCTCCACCCGGTAGTCCCTAACCCTTTCATAGTCCAGAGGTGTTGTGGTCTGCAGAAAATACTTCCTCTTGTTGTCAACTGATGAATCACTGGCTGGCCGAAGCTGAAAAGGAACATCACCAGCAACCACACATGTCACCACGGCATTCTCTCCCTCATCGTTGTCTGAAACCTGTACCAATGCCACTGCAGTGCCTACAGGCATATCCTCTGAAATGTTTGCTACTCCATCACTATGGGTCACAAGACCAATGCCTCGAATCTCCACTGCTGGTGCATTGTCATTCTGGTCGGTTACATCAATAGAAACATATGTTTTAGAACTTTTGGGTGAGGGGCCTTTGTCTCGGGCAACGACGTAAAACTTCAAATTGTTGATCTCCTCACGATCCAATAGGCCTTTGACATATATGATGCCTGATGAGCGGTCTATCCGGAGAAGTTTTGGCACAGGATCAATGGCCTGATGCAACGTGTATTCAATCTCACCGTTAGGACCTAAGTCTGAATCATTAGCCTTCACCTGCAATAGAAAATATAAAACTTGACTTGTACTGAAATCAATTAAAATGTAAAGTATTAAAATAACAGCAAAATGGATTTTACACATACTCAAGACAATGTACAAAAAATACTGCAAGACAAGACTGCAAAACAACATTCATTAGACACTGGACATTAAATATTGGGTATTTAAACAGAGTGAATCTATTTATAGCACAAAACTGGGAACATAGTCAAAGCATTGCATAACAGGATTTCTGGGGCACAGACTATCTATAGAGAGTGGGGTTCCTTAGAAATTTCATTCTACTCAGATCATTTCAGTAATCTAAAATTTTAGATTCAACTTTAATAGTTTATAGTGATTTACTTATTTAACCAAATTAATGTGTATTTTTTTACTTATTTATTCTTTAACTAGATTAACATGTATGTGATGATCAAACTGGATTATTCTAATAATTAAAGGAAATGAATTTGGTAAGTCAGGCCCTGCTCCACTGATGTAAGGCATCAAAGTAAAGAACAGACATCTGGGAGGTTGGAAAAGCAGCACTCATTAAAATTTCACACTCCAACATCATGCAATAGGCAATTTATCTTGCCTTGTTCGGATCTAAAGGTTGACTTAGCATGTTTGCCATTTTACCTGTAACACAGAGTGTCCAATTGGGCTGTTCTCTGCAACCTCTGCTTCGTAGGAGGATTTTTCAAAGTGGGGTGCATTGTCGTTGGCATCAGCAATGACGACCCTCAGCAAGGCACTGCTGTAGCGAGGTGGATTGCCTCCATCCACAGCTTTGATGGTGAGATCATAGGAGTCTTTCCGTTCTCGATCAAGGCTTCCCAATACAATGAGTTGAGGTAATTTTTCACCTCGGTCCTCTGCAACTTGCAGACCAAAGAGTGCTACAGCCTCTGGTCCTGCTGTTAGGGTGTAGTCAGCTACTCCATTTCTCTCCGTATCTTTGTCAGTGGCCAGTGGAATTGAGAAGAGCGCCCCCACGTGGGTGTTCTCTGGAACTGAGAGGGTAAGGACAGGTGAGGGAAACTGTGGTGTGTTATCATTGATATCCTGCACTTCGATCCTTCCCTCTATCAGCCGTGGACTCTGATTCTGAATGAGATCTGTGACGGACACCTCAAACTCCAGAAAGCAGGGCTTGCCTTTATTACGACAATCCTTCAGTGTCTCTCTGTCAATGGGGATCTCAGTGGTAAAGATATCTCCAGTTTTGCCATCCACCCGCAGATAGGGAGTGCCCACCTCCAGTTTGTACAGGTGTCCAGTGTCTGGTAGGCCCTGGTCAGCCGCCAGACTGCCAATCAGTGTGCTCGGAGGTTGTTCCTCATGCACACGGTATAGAATGCTACCCACCGCACCACTCAGCAAGTCCAGTAACAGTCCCCACAGCAGAAACAACACCACAGGGAGATCCATGGGCCCTTGGAGAGGTAACACCTCAGTCTGCAAAACAGTGTGAAAAACATGTTAAATCGTAAACAAGTGTGACATGCGGTGCTCTTTCGAACAAACATAGAAAAAAAACTTCCTTTTTTTCATTTTAATTTACTTTACCAGTGAGGGACTAGCCAAGGGTGAAACAGAATGCACACAGCACACACTGTTTTGTGTTCACATTGTGAGCACTAAATCCAAGGCTAAGAGTTGTAAAAGCTCTCCGGAAAATGCCTCTTCCCCCGACACCACTAAAAGCCTCCTCTCTCATTATCTTACATTATTTATCATCCTCATTTTTGATCAGACGATTACTTGTATGTAAAGAAAGACAAAGAAGACCTACTGTACAAATGTCGTTCAAAAAGGTGTTTGAAACCATCAGCCAATAATTTTGTTGCATGACTGCTGCAAAAATGCTTCATTTCTTAAATCTGGGCATTAAATCATCCCTATTAATACCACACAGGAAAATGTTAATTATCACCCTTTTGAGTGCCTGTCCAAGCTAAGCTGCTTTTGAAAATTAATGATTTAGAACACGCAATAAGACACTTCTTAATGGGCTTTTTAATAAGAAGGTATGGGTTACTGTTAGGCTCAAAACAACAGCTCAGCAAGCTTTGTACTATTTACAACATAAATTAAACCATCTTATATGCAGTTTATAATGCACTTTCCTCAACATATGCTTAATCCAGTGCATATTCACAGCCAGTGATGGGGCTATTATTTTGGATGACTTCCCTTTAATGAAGGTTACACTCATTTGATTGGCCCATAACGTGAAATAGGCAGTTTCTCAATGCAAAGTGCTGATGAGACAAAAGGTCCGAAGAAGACTGCTAACACAGCAAAGGAACCATTCAGCATCACAGAATGTAGGCAGAAAGATTCCCCTCAGTGAAACACTGGTATATTAAGACGCTGCACTCCCAGGTCACAGAGGACCTGAAGGCCAGCCCTTATCTCAAAGTACAGATTTACTCAAGACATGAGAAATATCTGTCCTATCAAAGCTCAGAAGTTTCAGGCTAATTTACACACTGTAATGCTCTCATGTTTGATTTTCAACCTGCTAGGCCTCCTCATTAATCACTATCCTCTATTTTAGCATCTGCTTTGATCTGTATTCCCCTGCATCCAGGTTTCTCTCCTTTTTAAGCACCAAATAGTTTTAGAGTTTAATTATTTCCTGAGTGAGAAGATGTTGTGCCTTTAAATTACATCAGAGAGTTTATTGAGCTGGGGCACTTAATGCTGCGGTCTTTGAAGTCCCTGTATGTTTATATGCAAAACATCCATGTCACATCTAGAATGGAGCACGAGACAAACCAGAATCGATAAAGGCTTTGCAAGCGGTCATGATCCAAAGGAAACTAAATAAGTGTTATACAAAATAGCTAAACACAAGAATGCATAGAAATCCAATCAGAAATCCAATTCCTTCGTATCTGTTAAGATTTGGAGTGCAGCGTATTGATGCACTAATTGCCCAGGTATTGATGTGTCCTCTTTTTGCATTTGCAGGGCAGCCTCCTGTCGATTTAGCTGTGCTGATAGTGTATAGGGTAAAAACATGATTAGGGACTGTGGCATAAAGCACAGCCTCTGAAGGCCCAGGCAATAACTTGTGCTCATGGCAGTGGGAAGATGGACCCTAGTAATGCAGTGAGACTGGAACACTGGATCTCCTGCTACAGATGTGAAAATACTCATAACGGTGATAATATGTTGGCCCATGCATTATGTGCTAGTGGAGAAAATGCAATTTTGTGGCATTTTGGTGCATTGTTTTTTTTTTTCTTCTCAGAATGTATAGATCTTAAAGGGGTCATATGATGTTGCTAAAAAGAACATTATTTTGTGCATTTGGTGTAATGAAATGTGTTTATGCGGTTTAAGGTTCAAAAAACACATTATTTTCCACATACAGTACATTATTGTTTCTCCTCTATGCCCCGCCTTTCTGAAACGCATAGATCTTTACAAAGCTCATCGGTCTGAAAAGCGAGGTGTGCTCTGATTGGCCAGCTATCCAGTGCGTTGTGATTGGCCGAATACCTCAAGCGTGTGACAGAAATGTTACGCCCCTTGCCATATTGTGATGCCTTGTCCCGGCCGGAGCGACGAGACAAAAACATTAAAACCCATTATAAACGAGGCATTTGTTGTATCCAGTGGGGACATAATTATGGATTATAATGACTTATACTGTCTTTTTACGCGTTGCATTGCATCGCGCCACGTAAACAAAAAACCATGTCTCCATTTGTGATAGGAAAAATGACAAACTACAAACGCTACTACTCTACACTGCTCAAAACTCACGTTTGAATCGTCAGTGGCAAATTCTTTAAATATAAAAAAAACGTACTTACAGTCTGTGAGTCAGAACAGCTGGCATTGTAGTCTACTCTACCAGGATCAGGAAACAGTCCTCCATAAAATGCACTGGACACATCGAAATATTTGGGTTGAACTGTTCTGGAACAGTGTTGTAAATACAACTTACCCACTGATTTCTAGTCGTGTCCTCTTTTGGAAGACCAAACAAAGTAGTTTCGCTTCCACAAC